GTAATAATAATATTGAGTGACGTTACAGTTATCCACATATTGTAAACGTAAAGTCTAAAATAGATCTGATGTGAATTTTACTATTTTGTCATCAATTTGAAAAAGCAATGAATAATATTAAATAAATTGTATTTCTAGYAAATTAAAAAGTTTAATTTCTATAAATGATCATTATAATTAGCGTACAATTGYCAATTCATAAAAGCCCTTACCAATGTACCTATTCAAACTGCATTTAAATTACATACACRCTTCTATATTATATGCACCATGTCACACAGTGTTTAACTCAATTATACCACTCCCCGTATTCCGTAATGACTATTGAGTCTACTATAATAATAAAATATATATAAATATATAAACATTATTAATTAATAATATAATGTATATACAAGGTGGACGGTGCATTCTGTGGTCTGGGAAAATGGCCTTTTGATTGAGACTCATGCACAATGACTCATCCTGTATATCCACAAATCACGTGATTTCACAGCAACATGCGCATTGCCTCTATGTTTTAATACTATTTTACAAACAATGAGCACACATCACCATCACCAATTGGCTTGAAAATGTCATTCCTCGCATTGARCCCAGCCACGATGAAAACAATTTAACAACAATATTCCACATTATAGATTTATCATAGGTATTCAACGCCATGACACTTTCGATTCAAATTCAAAACAGTAAATAATTGCATTTGAAAACATTATTATATTAGTTCTTATTATATCATATTACTATACATACTATACTTATGATATTTTACTTGGCACAGACACTGTATATCCATCCGAATCAATAAAACCATAAGATTTTCGAAAATATTTAATTGGTTGGTAAATTACACACAGTATACCACTGCTCAGACGTCTCAAACATCAAAAACGCTCAGTGGACAACAAAACATACAGAGCACATAAGATATAAAAATAGGCATATCAGAATATACAGGTTTACTCTTTGACTCTTTGTGACGTTTCAAAGCATCCGTAACTGTCATGTAACCAACTCATATCAAGAGTTAGAGACTGCGAAAAAACAAGATAAGTTAACTTTTTTTTGAAAATGCACATTTTCAAAATATAAAATAAAAATAAAAAAATCCATAAATTGTTACAATTACCAGGTTAGTCCGTTGCATATTTAATCATATACCAGATACAAATATAGTACCTATTTATAGTGAATAGACTCATCTGATTTTGCTGCAAATAATGGTCACATTTAAACATTATAATTTATAAGTAATAAGAAGTATTTAAACATTATACAACATAATAAATGTAAGTAGTTTAGTATTATTTAAATCAATATAATTTTTTTTTCATAAAAAAAAAAAAAAATGATTACTGTGGGGGGAAAATAAATAAATAAATGTGATGTTGGGTGAAGATCAATATATTTATATAAAATGTATAAATATATAAATAGAACTAACAAATTAAATGTAAATACATGTTCAGTATTCTTCATATAAATAAATATTTCAAGCCATAAGAGTAATAATTTTAAGGTTAAATATACAAATTATAATTTTAATTTTGAGTAAAACCTAAGGTCTTCAAAATAAATGTTACTTTTTTATTTCGTTATATACCTTGGCTCCAATGGATTTTAAATGAAATATTTTACAATAGTAGCTGATAAATAGATTGTTGGAAGGATAGTTGAAATATTGGTAATAAAGTTATAAGATTACTATTGGCCGACATAAACGGTGCATACTTCTGAAATACCAAATTGATCATTTTGATTTATTTTTGAATCAAAAAATTAATTACATAAAAAATATTTATCTGTTTAGCATAGTCATGAAAAAAACAAATTAATTTAATTGTAGAATAACCACGTGTTTTATAATAATTAGTATAATGAGAATTCAACAAATGCCAAGTGCTGCAATAATAGAAGTCAATAATTTGACGAAATTCTTAAAATC